GTAAAAAATATGCAAATGAGGCAAAGTGTGGACTATCACCGTGCCTCATTTGCATAATTAATTAGGCTCCATTTTTGCACAAAACCCCCTCTTACGCATGAGCCGTTCTTCCAAATTTTTTTCAGGAAGAACAGCTCTTACGCAAAAGCCTCTTGTGAAAAAAGGAACCTAATTAATTATGCAAATGAAGTGCAGCTATATTCCACACTTTGCCTTGTTTGTATATTTTTTGCACAAAAGGGGGGCAGTGTAGACATAGCCAAAGACATTTGTAAAATATGTGATATAAAGGCTAAAATCAATCAGCAGTGGGGAGTGATCTGTAAAAGACCCCCAAATCACAAATGTAACTAGGGGTTGTACAAATCATCCTTAAAGATGAGAAGTTAGAATGTAATGTGTAGTGTAATGGGTAGCAGTATTTTGGATGAACTGGTTGGGATTGAAGCTAGGGTTTATTACAGAGTACTAGAGTGAGAAAGTGGAGATAGGACTGGAATAGCAAAGGATGCTACAGTTCAGAATTGAAGAGCATGGGTAGATCTGCATGGGAGTCCAATATAAATAATGTGTTTTCGTACAATAGATGCAATCACAACATAGTTATTCATACAGTCCTGGATCTAGCAGCTAAAACAGACTTCTATTCCTTGAACTTAAAGGAGAACCATATGTCAACAAATGTAAAATGCTGTGTATGCAACACCAAAAAGTCTCCCTGTAAAGAGTTTATAATTTAAAGGCATAGATGAATATAATACAAACAGTAATGAATAACAGTGTATAGATGTTAATGTGCAGGTAGACTTAACAGAACAGGTGGGATGCTCAAGTGAATTGAAGGAAAAAACAGCATGGGAATCAAACACCTATTGTTGTGAAACTCTCTGGGATGATTTTGTTATGCACAAAATATCTGAATTAAGGATGTGGTACCAGTCCTATTTAGAATTTTCCTTAAAAAACACTTTACATATCTAGTTTTTTTTACTCATTTTGTTCAATTCACTAATGTTTTAGTCTGATTTAAATTTCAGAAGCATGTCTGAGCCTGTTTCTTGCATCAGCCATCTTGGTAAAAAGGTGGTATAATCTGTGGTAGTAGGAACCAAATCTTCTTCTGGTGTAAATCTTTTGTAAGTCAAAGTAAATCTTTTAGTTCTGTAATGTAAATTTACAGACATGTGGAAGAATGTGTTGCTTTTTACAAGTTCGTAAAGTCTGAACCTGTATTAGCTCATCCCAAAAGTGACAGATTGAGAAATCTTAAAAAAAAAAAAAAAAGTATACAATGGGTCAATAGTGTTAACGCAACTCATAATTGTCCATTAGTAAACAGTGTTAAAATAAGGTCCTGGGTTTGTTATAGAGACACCTCAGCCTGCTCAGTACCATGGCAAACACACCATTAAAATCTATTTAACCTTTATTAAGAGATAAAGAAAAAGGAAACAAAGCATTTAAAAATCTAAATTTTAAGAAGGCTTTCATTTTAACATTCCTTGTTCCCTTTTCCTTTAGCTGAAAAGAGTTTAAGAAAAAAACATTTTGACAGTCTTAGATGGTACCAAAGGGGATAATTGCCCTTTTGGGGAAAAGAAAGGAAGTTCTTTGAGATGGGCTGTAGTTGCTGTTGTTGTTAAAGTCCAATTCTGTTTCATCCCAGATGGTGTTTGGGATTCAGCTGCAGCACATGTAGAGATGCAGCCTCTCCTACAGCCTCAGGAACTGCAGTGTCCTTTGTGACTCAGCCCTCTGGCCACATCACTATCTACATTCTACTCTTCCAGAGGAGTTTAGCTCCTCAATAGGCCTGTGCAGTCCTCTTGCTCACTACCTCAGCCCCTCAGTCAGTGGCTGGTAAGGGAACACAGGACTGCCCTCTTATCTTGGTTTTAGCTTAGGGTCCACAGCTCAGCAGTCTCAGCCTTCTCTCTCTGACCTCATGATTCTATCCCTGAGCTTCTTCCTACTGCTGAGTCCCCTTTTCTTTCTGAACATACCAGTTCCCCAAAGCCTCCTTCCTCTTCCAAGGGAGCAACTGTAAACAGAGACCTGTGTTTTCTGGGCATATCTGCCTTTTCCCAACAGCCCCTTCTCTTTCAATGGCTGGGCTTTATAGACCCCACCTCTCCCGGCCTAATTGAGCATCCTCAGCAACCTGCAGCCCATCAGAGCTCTATATGTGGCCCATGAGACATTTTGTTTACTGTTGCCCACGTGCAGGGTTGCAAGATTCCACTGGTTTCTAGTCAGGTAGGCTGTGTCTACATTGGCGCGATCTTGCACAAAAGCGGCCGCTTTTGCACCAAAATTTGCTGCCTGTCTATACTGGCCGCGAGTTCCTGCGCAAGAACACTGATGTTCTAATGTATGAAATCAGTGCTTCTTGCGCAAGAACTATGATGCTCCTGCTCAGGAATAAGCCCTCTTGCGCAACTGCTCTTGTGCAAAAGGCCAGTGTAGACAGGCAACATGAATTTCTTGCACAAGAAAGCCCTATGGTTAAAATGGCCATTAGAGCTTTCTTGCGCAGGAGAGCGTCTACACTGGCAGGATGCTCTTGCGCAAAAGCATATCTCTTGCGCAAAGGCACATGCCAGTGTAGACGCTCTCTTCTGGAAGAGTTTTTGCACAAGAACTCTTCCTCAAAAGAGTTCTTGCGCAAAATCATGCCAGTGTAGACGTAGCCGTAAGGGTTTGTTTTCCCTGTTAGTTTTACTAAAGTGACACACACACAAAGCAAGGGCCCATGAAGTGCAGGGTATGCTGATTGCACATAACTTGGAGTGTAAGATCCATGCGTTCCCTTTGCATTCAGTTAAAATGCTGCTACCATTTAATTGGCACATCCCTCAAATTCTAAGTGTACAATCACAATTCGCAAAACAACACTATCCCAGTAGACCATTTTTGGTTACAACAATCTTACAGCCCACTGAGATGGAGTGCTACTTATGCAGCCCGCTCATTAGCCTAGGCTGTCCATCACTGAGCTACCCGATGGGTTAACTGGATTATCTGGCCTGCATTAAAGCTTGCAGAGTGAGCGTGAAGTGTCACAAAAAGAATGGTGGGTGGAATAGTTTACACCCTCATGGTTTTATCTGCTAATTAGGCTTTGATTCTAACACACCAATTTTGATTTGCTGATTTCTGGTTCCGTATTTTTTCTTGTTTACCAAATATGAATTTAATGCAGTCTTTGAGTTTTGTTTGGATTAATTCCATTTTCTGTCTCTCTTTCAAAGCTTTTTCCATCAAAATTTGTTGTAATAGGTTATTGTGACATCTTGTAAACTTATTATACTCACTTTTTACAGTGAACTTGTAAATTATGGTAAATTTGTAGGCCCAATTATTACAAGAGGTCCATTATACTTTCTGGATAGTTCATGTTTTAAGTTTATTTGTTTCAGGTTGGTATGTGTGTCACTGTTGGGGATGGAATGTCTGTCCTATGCAGTGAACAATTAATGATGGAGCAGTCTGTCAGACAGCAGTATGTTGTCTCCTGAAGGCTAAAAGGAATGAGTCATCAGTGGCTTTTCTACTCTCACTTCATTGTTGCTAGACTAACACATTTGGAGAGGAAACAAAAAACAGGACTGTGTAGCACTTTAAAGACTAACAAAGATGGTTTAATAGGTGATGAGCTTTCCTGGGCCAGACCCACTTCCTCAGATCACATTTCTACCACATTTGGAGAGGATACACTCTTATGCAACACAAGCTTTGTGATGATAAGATTCCAAGCAAGAGTAAGAGCACAAGTTGCTGGGAGGGAAATGTGAATTCTCCACTAGTTCTCAATGTGTGTGTAATCAAAGAGTAATCCTGTGGCACCTATATATTTTGGTTAGGCTCTAAGATGCCATGGGAGTACAACTTGTTTTTAAAGTTACAGGCTAACACAGGTATCCCTCTTTAATCAATTACTGTATACTTCTTCCTGTGATTTATAAAAAGGGGCATCAAGCCATGAATTGCTTAGCCTATGCTAGATCCTGAAAAGTGAGAGGCCCTAAGTTGTTTTCCTTATGTGTACCATTAAGTATACACATATTGGGGATTTAAGCACAGTGAAAATGGTATTCACAGTGCATCACTGGAGTATGTAAATATTTTGAGGCAGAGTCACTAGTAGGCACTGTGATGCAAAGCAGTTCCAGCCATTCAAAGAAGTCATAAACCCAGTTTAATTGCTCAGTTAAATTTAAATTGTGATTGTATCTGCTTTATAATGTAGGAGCAGTAGAAAGGATTTGGCCCCTTGAAAGGTAAACAGTCACAACCCTTGATTCTTCATTGGGCACTGTGTGTGACATTGGGATGAATTAAAAGATTGCGGGTGAGAGATTTCTTAATCCAGCATCCGTTTTTCTCTCTCAGGGGATGGAGGATCCTGCAGTGTGTTTCAAATAAGACCTTCACAGGCCGTGTGTTTTATGTGTGGAAATCTCCCCGCCTGATCTCATGATAATCCGAAACACGAACCCTCCCCCCAAGCCCAAATCTTGCATGGCCCCCTCTCTAGTGAAGGATGCTGAATCTGGCGCCGCCGCATCCTGGCTTTGCCTGCTATCAGGCACCCCCGTTTGCATGAAGTGGGCAGTGCCAGGCGCTCCGCACCGCCCAGCCAGAAGTGAGAGCAGAGATGGAAGCCGGGAAGCTCTTCCCCCTTCTCTGAGCCGGCAGATCCGGGTCTTGTGGTCTAGACTGACGTGGTCAATCGAATCAAAACAGAAGGGGAAAG